TTGGGATCAGCAATAATGTCCATGTAGGGCGATTTGACCAGAAGAGCCTTCCGACGCAGTTCAAGGGCTGGCTTATCAGATAGCACAGTGGGTGGCCAGTCATCTGAGGAGCCGCAAAGAAATGGAGGACCATGAGCCGAAAGAGGTGACTCATTCAGCTCAGTCGGATGAGCCCCTCGAGACAGAATGTCGGCTGGGTTTAAAGCTGTGGGAACATAGCGCCATTCCATTTTTTCGGTCATTTCCGGAATCGTTGACACTCTATTTGCAACAAAAATATTAAATCTTGACGGCTCGTCCCGAATCCAAGAGAGCGCAACGGCAGAATCACACCAACAGTAACACCTTCCCTTGAAGATATTCATTCCAGCTATCTCAGATATGAGCCTAGCCAGCAACTCCGCTCCACAAAGCTCCAACTTTGGTACTGTAAGTGTTTTCAAAGGAGCCACACAAGATTTGGCACAAATTAAGTGACTGCTGGAATGCTGACCCTTGGGCACCACATAAATGCATGCACCATAAGCCTCGATGTACCTCGAGTACCTCGAGTACCCGCCGAGGAAATTCAAGTCGACGAATCTGACCAAAACTGGTGCATATTTCTTGCCACTCGGTGTTCAGTGCGACTGGAAGGCTTTCATCCCAGGACAACTTCTCTTGGCACAAACGCTGGAGAAAGATTTTGGATTTAGTAATTACGGGACCAGCTAGTCCGAGAGGATCGTAGAATCGCGCTATGGATGACAAAACAGAGCGCCTGCAAGAATTCAAAGAAGATTGAAGGGCCGACAACGAAAATAATAGTAGATCAGAAACCGGATCCCACGCAAGTCCTAAAGTTTTAGTGACATGGCTGCCATCGTCGAACTTCAAAAATGTTTCCTTGTTCTCTTCCGGAACTCCATCCAGCACAGCAGGGACGTTCGAACACCATTTCCTCAATCTGAACTGACCTCTAGACAAAATTCCAGTAGTTTGCTCACGAATTCGGATAGCCTCCTCCTGCGAGCTGGCTCCAGATATCAAGTAATCCACGTAGAAGTCAGAAGAAGTCACGGCGAAGGATTTCAGCTCTAACTGGAAACGCCATCTGCTCGTCCATTGCCAACTGATGCATTGCTCGCACAGATAAATAGGAGGCAGGCTTCGTCCCATAAGTAACGGTGTCTAATTGAAACACACGCAAGTCTTCTTCCCTGGAGTTTCTCCACAGAATACACTGCAAGTTTCTATCCTCGGTCAAGACTCTTACACAACGATACATCTTACAGATATCTCCCGTAACCGCAACGGCGTATGACCGAAATCGAGCAAGAATATGAAACAGTTTGGGTTGGATTACGGAACCAGCCATTAAAACGTCGTTCAGGGAATATCCAGATGAAGTTGAAGCGGATCCATCAAAAACGACGCGAAGCTTGGTCGTAGAACTATCTTCCTTCATGACGCAATGGTGTGGCAAAAAATATCGGCAGTTGCTGATTGACTGGGTAGGAACCTGAGACATATGGCCTAAATCAAGGTACTCCTTTATAAATGCTGCATACTGAGATTTAACATCAGGGCGACGATCTAACTTTCTCTCAAGGGTCAGGAATCTACGAAGCGCTTGATTGTAAGATTCTCCAAAGATATCCAAATTATATTTTGCTGGCAGCCGAACACAATAATCGCCTTTTTGTAGTCGACGGAAATGCTGCACAAAGTGTGCTTCACAATCTAGCCCTTCTTTGGTAGACTTTATTATTGGTTCGATGCAATTTTCTACCTCCCAAAACCTACGAAGTAGCACCTCAAGCCAATCCTCTGGACTATTATCCTCAGCAGCTACGGCCCGAGCGCGAGAGGCCATCAACGAGGAACCTTTTTAACGCGAACAACTTCCAGACACGACCCATCCCAAGCGCGTTTTCTGAATTGAAGGCAATCTTGGCAGTAGCTTGACCTGACCAACACACAGGATCTCGAAAAACAGACTTGCGCCAATTAGCAGATCGACGCGCTGCGGCTTATAAAACTCCGGATCAGCTAGTGGTATGTTAGATGGAATGTTCCAGTTTTGAGTGTAAATTCCAAAGCTTGGCTGTCGATCGGTTATGCTAGAGGCTACACTGGCAGTGATGAGAGTTGAGATAATCCGATGAGCGAGAGTGCAGGCTAACGTTGACCGAAAATCCATCCGTGACGAAGCTAGAGTCGCCTTTTCCCGAGACTGCAGTCGATGATTTCATTTTTCGAAGCTGAAGCTGATTCGCGAAACGAGAAGTTATTAGATGCAACTGGGAGCCGGAATCCAGCAACGCTCGGCAGGGAACTAAAACTCCGGAACGATTTTTGACTAAGACCGTGGCCGTGGCAAGTAGAACAACACCATTCCTGAGATCTTGGGCAATAAGGGCAGACGAGGTAGCCGCTGAAGTAGAGGGCTCAGTGGTATGCTCAGACGGCGTAGACTCAGACAGCGCAGACTGACATGGAGTATACGGCGCTGATTTCCCTTAGACTGCGGTATCTTCAGGGCTATCAAAATGAAGGAGGTTATGGTGTCTACCCCCGCAGGTACGACAGTTGCTCGAGGTGCACTGAAGTAATCAATGCCCTGTTCTGAGACAATTTATACACAACGAAAGCCGCTTGGCTTCTTTATGGCGATTTGTGGGCGCTTTAAACTTCTGACAGTGCTGGACCTCGTGAGCACCATCGTTGCACAGCGCGCAGCGTGCTACGGTTTGGTTCGTTGTAACCAATGTGGACCTAGAATTATTATGCTTTCTACTTCTGCCCACCTGATTGCTCAACGCATAGCTTGCCATAGAAAAGTCCATCGTCTCCAATGATCTGCATCGCTGCTCCAAGAACGAGGCCATAGATTCCCACGACGGAATTAAGTTGGCGAATGCGGGGTCGTTGAATCGTTCCTCCCACTTCTCTTCGCTCGCTGGATCCAGTTTTCGGAGAAGCTCCTGCACGATGATGCATCCTGCGATCTGCTCAGTGGTGCCCAAACCCAAGTGCCCAAATTCCGCTGCATGCGCATATGCGGTACCAAATGATCTTTGCAGTGGGGGCATTGGAAACGACAACACCAAAATGCATTTCCTTTGGGCCGCACCACTGGCAATAATTTAAAATATTTAAGCTGCTTGACCCGACAGTCGGCTTTGCCAATTGCAAAATATGAGTTCAAGGATCTCAGAACCTATATTAGCCAGAGCAACCAAATTTGGTATCCACACTCGTGTGATATCGGACCTTCACCGTTTTATGTCAGAATTTCGCCACACCCCCTTCCGCCCGCGTAAAGGACGAAAATCTGGGGTATCCACAAATCTCAGAGACTATTAACGCTAGAGTAACCAAATTTAGTATCCGCACTCCTGTTAGATCTCACTGTAAAACGCATATCTCAAAATTTCGCCCCACCCCCTTCCGCCCCCACAAAGGACAAAAAACTGTTGCATCCATAATATTGAGGATACAAGAAAACTAAAAACGCAGAATCATGGATAATGATCATATCTATCAGATTGCTGAATCTGAATCAGATCAGATCATTTTTATAGCCAAAAGGAACAAATCAATTTGCAGTGGCTACGCAGCGCCCGACGTCTCGCTCGTCGTTTAATATTAGCGGCGTCTGCCGGAGAAGAGCCATACTGACTTAGTATCGGGTATAACTGTATAGTTGCGGTGTCCGCAGCAACTCACAACGTTCCCCCTCGTTTGTTTTGTTTTTAAAATCTTCCATTCTTTCCCACGAGCTGCAGAGAAGGGGTACGGTCCGTCCGGGCAGAGATCCGCGTTGCCCGGATAAGGCATACTTAGAACAGGTGGCTGCCAAGTCCCTGAGCTCTCCGTTATCGACTGGGCTAGTTTTATATACCGGGCCCCCAGCCAGGCTGACTCTCGGCACGGGTCGAATAACACTTTTAGTCCGGCCCGGTGTGAGCTGAATGTGGGGGCTGGGATGTGGGTAGGTAGTGTGTAAGCGGCACCACAATCGCATCGTCAGTGTTGCTACTTCGCGAACACCCGTGGCTGTCCGGGTCTGCTTGTTTTCGATACTCTCCCTAGGGATGTCCACTTATTCGCAGCTGACCTACCTATATGATCTATATAAGTATAGGTAGGTCGTTCGCTATCCGCAACCTGCGACCCGTCCGGTGGCCTCTGCTAGGCCCCCTTTGAGCCACCTCACCAGCTCATCAAACCGGATGCGGGGACTCAACTGGGATGCATGTGTGAGATTGACATCTTACTCTAGTAGATTGCTATTAATAAACCTTGAATCCTTAGTTAATCGTAAAGTTAATCTTAAAATTTTTCGTGCGATTTTTGTGCAAAACTTTATCAAAGTAACGTAGATAGCCTTAGTTTCTTGATCCGCATTAACGAATCGATTTCATTTAGATACGATTGAAACTACAAATCACTGTCACTTCCTTTTTCTAGATCGAATTATTCCTTCCATGAACCTTTAGGGTCTTATGATCTGGTTATAATTCTCTCTGCCATATTATATCCACCACTAATTCCATTCCTTTTCTTAAATTCCTAATACTCAAATTTCTCGCAATTAGTAATTGTATTTGTACTTTGAATGCGCTCTTAGTTATTTTTGTAATGTTAGTTTTAACTTTACTCGAATATTAGTCTAGCACCTATCTTCCCTGCATGTTCGCATTTGATTCGCTTAATGCCTGGCGCGTCATGCAGAGCGCCACTCGGTCGGTTGGGCGGGAGGAGTGCGGCGTTTTTGCCTAGGTCGAAATTAATTTTAAACAAAACACATTATCAGACAAATCAGAGAAATCGATTATGTACAACTTTTCACAATAGCCAGTAGTTAAAAATGTGATAATTTTTTTGATCTGATTACTATGCCACACAATGTACCAACTCGTTTTGGTGTCGTAATCTGAATACTTATTATTATGTCACTCGTTAAATTATTTATTGGGCTGATTAAAACAAAATATTTTTCAACAAATTTTCAGAATATATTTAACAAAAAACCCCCGAGGACTGATAATAAATTCAATCTTTGGTTGAAGTCTGGACACAAAGAATGTTTGTGGATTTTATTGCTGGCCTCATGGGAGGTAAGTATTCACTTGTTTGTATAAATTTAATTCTTAATGTTATGGAAATTTTGTGTGGCCCTTTTCGGCTCGATTCAATCAATTTATAATGTTTCCTCGGCGACAATTAAGTACACGGTCGTGGTTAACTGCACATTTATTCGTATCATCAGATTGCTAAGGATTGCTTGCGTTGATCCAAACTTGCCAAACTTGGAAAGGCTCCGTGATCGTTTCCTCACTCAATTAGTGTGCTAGGATGGGTTGATCAATGGCCTTTTGCTGCTCCTTTCAATCTTAGCGCCTTAGCGCTGCGCTAGCCTTCCATGCCTTCGGAACTTCGAGCAAACGCCCAGGATTCCGCCGACTAGACCCGCCCACATGCTTTCACGGACCTGACCGCTCAACAGACCTATGATCCGTCGATACTCCTTGCTTTTGACCGAGAGCATCCGCTCTCCTCTCATCGGTAATCGTCGCTAAGCTTCGTTGCTGGCGTCGCGCATATGCTCGCTGTCTCCTCTAACACCTCTGCCAGCGTTTTTTGCCTCCGAAGCCTTAGTTTGCCTCCCTGTTGCCCAAAAATTTGGACAGATCTTTGTTTTCTCACAACAGGGAATTGTAAGGGAAATAATTTCAGTTTCGAATTAACGTAGTTACGTAGAATTTCGAAACATAGTTAGAGAGAAAAGATTTGCAAATCGTCATTATTAGTAATAGATATGAATATACAATAAAGTCATAGATAACGTAGAATAATAAAATTACATTACAGAGCTTAGTACAATCCGTTAAGTAAGATTTGTATATTTCGCTTTAAGCTTTATAGTTTCGATCGCATGGCTACTGCTATACAAAATTTCGGGATCATAGCCTTGGCCATGTCCTCTCCACTCTCTCTCTTCTCCGAAGAGAGAAATTAAAGCAGACACCCTGAGAACAATTGCATAGATAAGCATTAATCCAAAAAAGTAGTTTAGTCGGAAACTAAAGAAGAGATAGTTTATGGATATGATGATTATGGGTTAAGCTTTACTAAAATCTAAAAAATGTACTTTATCAGGTTTACACTGTTTTAGGAATCCAGAAGTTAAAAGGATGGAAAAGTCAACCAGGTGTGTAGAGACAGAGGGACGTTTCACAAATACGGGCTAAAATTGCGAAAAGAATGAACTACGGAAGTTATGAAGATTAGAAGTAATAATTATTTCAAAAAGTTTAGGAATGACAGATATGTATGTTGGAAACACAACGGCAATATGAAACATCCGATAGCTCCCTTTGATTATGTACAATTTTCTGATAGGAGTTTCTCCAAATGTTATCCGATTCGTCTAAGTCTACTTTTTGGTCATTTGAAATACACTTGTGCAGGTCCGATATCACAGGAGTGTGCATAACAAATTTGGTTGCTCTAGCTCTTATAGGTTCTGAGTTCCTTGAACTCACATTTTGCAATTGGCAAAACCGACCATGAAACCTGTGTGTAAGAGAGAGACAGAGCGAGAAAGAATGAAATTGTTTTCTTGGTTCTGGCTATAATAATTAAACGATCTGATTCAGATTTTTCACTCCAGAACATATAGTCATCCTCTACGATTCTGCGTTTTTAGTTTTCTCGTATCGTCGAAATTGTGGATGCCACAGATTTTCGCCCTTTGTGGGGGCGGAAGTGGGCGGGCAAAGTTTGAAATATTCTCGTAATAGTGTCACGACCGGACGGAGGGACGGACGGACAGAGAGACAGGGCTCAATCGACTCGGCTATTGATGCTGATCAAGAATATATGTATATACTTTATGGGGTCGGAAACGATTCCTTCTGGACGTTACACACATCCACATCGGTGCTCGACTGCGCCCATCTGGCTTATAGTAGAAGGGACCGCCGAATGCAGACGAATCCTGTACTCGATCCTTCAGTAGGTCAGCAATGATGTGTTCCACAAGACGCGGTCTGGACCGGCAGCAGATGACGCTTTTTCGCAGGGCGCGAGCCACAGTTTTATGCCACCGTTGGGCCAAAACTGTAAGGGAATCGCTCCAAGTAGCGACTGCGGACCAGTATAGTGATGATTTCGATGAAAGTGCGTAATGATGGCGAACGTCATTGGATGATCCTTGGCCAAAATTATTGAGAGATCCGGTGACTTCGTCCTACTGATGAACTTCTGAACGTAACCAAAAATTTGCATCATGACTCCAAATGAGTTGATGTGCTTAAACGAAATTGAGATGTCGCTCATACGAAAGCAATACCCGATGTCGAATTTCCGAAAGATTGACTTGGTCTAACGAAACACCAGATGTGGTTGCTGCAGAGCCGGCGAATACAACCCTCAGCTTTATTGTGTCAGCTGTCCTCTTTGCAGACGCAATGATGTGGCAAGAAATATTTGCACTTGTGCCTATCTTCCTAGGGCACCAGAAACATATGATCGAGGGACAGGTACTCCTTCATTAATGCCGAATATTTTTCATGAAGAGCACGAGCAGATTACGCACGAACTTGCGCTCCAAGTTTTCCAAGCGCCGCTTTGCTTGCAAATAGGAATGTCCCAAGGACTTTAAACTTCGCTTCAATGGCAAGCGGACAGAGGGTAAGCGAGTGTGATGGTTGACGAAAAGTTCCTCCTTTGTTGCCCTGAAAACGGCTCAAAGATGTGCTCCACTTCCCAAAATTGACGAGCCAAGTCATCGAGCTGAGTGCTGCGATTGGTGTTATCCGAAGATTGGGGTGCGATAAACGACGAGCAGTTGGAGGCCGAGTGCGCACCACCAGATAGAATCCATCCGAGATGTGTCTTCTGCAGCAAGGGCAATCCAGCTGAATTTGTCCCACACAGAGCAACTCAAAGAAAAGTCCGTCTCCGATGAGCAGATCTATTCGCTCCGGCTTATGGAACGACGGGTCAGCAAGCTGGATATTCAAAGATATACGCCATTTAGCAATACTAATTGAGACGCGAGGTTGACTGTCCGTAACTTTTTGGGCGACGGACGGCAGTGATGCTAGTGCCGCGATTTCAGAACGAGATCCACCGAGATACCTTCAGTTGAGAAGCTAGCATCTCTTGGTTGGTTTTTCGCAGTTAAAGCTGATTAGCTAGACGAGTAGTTACGAAATGCAATTGCGAGCCCGAGTCCAACAATGCGCGACATGGCATGAAAGTTCCAGCGCTCTTATTGACGGGAACGACTACGGTGGCTAATAGAACAGGCTCAGACGGACGCTGGGATATATGAGATGGCGTCGAGGAGGGCGACAATGTTACCATGGCGGTATGATTTGGCTACGGCTCAATTGAAGATATAGTATGGAAGGGCTCTGTTGGACGAAGGAAATGCAGAAGAGTGTGGTGCTTCGATTGGCTAGTACGGCAGGGACTTGATTTACAATCTTTCAAGTGATGACCATTTTCGTAGGCAATTGACGCATAACAAGAGCACCCTTGCTTCCTTGTAACGAACATTCAGCGATAGAGTTTTGAACCGTTGACAATTGGCAATCATATGGTTCGCGTCCTCACAAAACACACAGGAAACAGGAGCACACGATGCTACAAACGACTTTCGATGATGCGTACTCACGGTTTTCCCTGACTTGCCAACCTGACCATCTTGCCCTTGCATGGAGTGGTGAATGCCTTCAAGGGTACGACATCTTTGTTCCAGAAATGCAGATAATTTCTCCCAGGATGGAAGATTGTGATTCGACGAAGCCGCTGCCCATTTAACTTGAGTCTGCGTATCCAAATTCTTCCAGAGTGCGTGGACGATGATGCAATAAGGTTTTTCCTCCTTAGTTGCCAGCGCATCCAACGCGCGAAGATGTGAGGCCCGCAGCGAAACAACAGATGAGTCCCCACGCGCCAGCCCAAATATTTCTCTAATGTGTGCCTATAGAATGAGACTGTTCGGGCCAGCCGCTGAATAATAAACGTAACTTTAACATTATTATTGTATGAGCAGAGAGAGCCGCCTATGTTGTAAAACGTTGACGTTCTGCAGAGCTGCTGCGCTCTCCCGCTAAAGGGGCTCTCTGCCGCCGCCAATTCGGCAACTACTTTGATCTGCTGCCGCCACTTCGGCAATCACTTTGATCTAACGGCGTCGTCTATAGTTTAGTTCTATGCTAACCCCTCTGCGCATTGGTTGCATATCGATCTCGCATAAAGTTTATCTGGCAATAGCAAGCAATCAGCTTCCGCTAAGCCACTAAGATTAAATACGAATTATAAACTTTAGCCAAAAATCTCTTTTCATTTTTGAAACACATAGGTGCCAAAAAAGCTTGGCTTGTCAAACAGAGACGTTTATTAGCAAATCGTTTTTTGAAAATATCTAATATTTTAATTAGCCTCGCTCATCTCCAACGAACTAATTGTGTACAACGCCGTTCCGCTCAAACAAGACCGCAAATGCTGTAACTCTCGATGGAAGTCAGCTCAGCTTCACTATCAATCACAGCTGTGAACATGGAATAGAAGCTTGTCCATTCTGTATAGGCTCCGCTAAACTTGGGCAGCTGCAGCTGTCACTGTATCACTGCCATAGCCAACGTTCCACTCCTTCTATTATTTTTCGTTTTTCCCATGGTTTTGGCTATAAATTGTTGACGCGAAGTCTGTGAGTCGATCACAGTTGAATAAAAATGATGCAATGCGAGATTTCAGAGAAGTTCAAAATGTTTTTGCAATCACTTTTGCCGCACTTTTGTGTATTTGTGTATTTGTGTATGTCCAAAATGTATGCGCCGGCAAAGCAATGAAGCGACGACCGAATAAGAACCAAAAGTTATGCACAAGAGAACGACCGAGATGATTTGCACTGTTTCAAGTTCGAATTCGAGAGCTGGCTGAAGCAAAACGACGAAAGAGGAGGCGAAGAAAACTAACGGACCACGCTTGGAACTCTATGCTGCAAGTCTTGACAGTGGGTCGCTAGAACTGTCGGCGACAACGCTCTTTGGTTCACTACTTTTCGACAAATGTTACGTTAAACCTTCGAATTTGATTTAAC